TTAGTTCTGAAAATTTCTGTTAATAGCTCAATTCTGCAAGGTCTTCAAACCTTCTGACGTCCCTGAAGTTTTGTTTCTGTTTTCCGGTAAAATTTTCTTAAAAATCAACAATCTTTCCTGACAATCTGCAAATGTCTCGGTAGTTCTACAGATTTCTTTGAAGTTCTGTGTGTTCTTAAGAAGTTCAGCAAATTTTCCTAAAAACCTACAAAGTTCCTGAATCCCTGGAGATTGAGGATCCTTGAAGATCAACAATAATCTCTGATGTTCACAAAATTTCAAATAATCTACAAACTTCTCGAAAGTTCTGTAATTTTCTCTGCAGATTTTCATGATTCAATGAATATCTGCAAATATCTCTGAACATCTATACAATTTTCTAAAGAATTAAAAGATTATCCAGAAATTTTTGAGCTTTCCGGAAGTTTTAGGAAGTATTCTGAAGATTTTCTAATTTTACAAATATCTCTAAAGATCAGCGAACTTACCTGAAGTTCTGTAAATGTCTTTCAAAATCCAAGAAACGCAGTAAAATTCTGAAAATTTATTTAAACATCTGCTAATGTTTGAGTAGATTTACGACCTACCCTCTGAACTTTTCTGAAGTTTCTAAAATTCATTTCAAATTCTGTAAAGTTTTCTGAAGTACTGTATTTCTGCTCTAAAGATCTACGAACTGCCCTGAAGTTCAATAAATTTCACAGTAGATCTCCGAACTTTTCTAAAGTTCTTTAAATTTCTTTGTGGATTCTTGATCTAAAGATCGGCGAACTTTCCCGAAAATCTGTGAGTTTTGCTAAAGTTTTGCAAATTTTTCTAAAAACGTACGAACTTTCTGACGTTCTACAGACTTCTCTTAAGGTCTACGGACTTCTCTGAAGTTCTTTAGATCTATCTATTTCCGACTTCCATGGAGTTCTGTAAAATATTGTACTTTTGTACTTCGCTGCGATTTGTTTTTGGAATTGAGGTGCTTTTCTGACATTTAACGAATTTTTCTGAAGATATCACATTTGTGTGAAACTGTGAAACTTTCTGTAAAATTACTGCAAATATCTTTAAAGTTCTGTAAAGTTGTCTTAAGCTCCGTAGCTCTATTCCCAAGATCTACAAAAAAAAACTTGAGGCTCAATAAATTTCTCAGTAGATCTGCAAACTTCTCTGATGTTTTGTAAATTCCTCTAGGGTTACCCTGAAGATTTGAAAATTTCCTTGAAGATTACCTAAAGTTGTCAAAATTGATCTGAAAATATTTGAGCTTCTTTGAAGTTTTAAATGTCTCTCTCAAGATCTACAAATTTTCCTGAAATCGTGTAAATATTTTTTTTAATCCCTGAAGTTCTGTAATTTTTACTGAACATCCATTAACATTTCTGAGATTCATGTGATTTTTTCTGAAGTCCTGTAATTTTTTTCAAAGTTATGTAGCTTTGTTCTGAAGATGTACGAACTTTTCTGATGTTGCATAATGTTTCGAGGATCTTCAAACTTCTGTGAAATACTTTATATTTCACTGTAGATTCCTGGACTTGCCTGAAGTTATGCGAATTTCCCTGAAGATTTGCAAAATGTTGCTTATAGTTTTACAAATTGATTTGAAATCATTTTTGCTTGCTTGAAGTTTTGAAAATTTATTTGAACATTTATCTGAAGATCTACGACTTCTATTGTGATTTTGTTTTTATAAATTTCTGTTAACAGCTTTTAATTTGTTTGTAGTTCTGTTCTCAAGATCTACGAACTACCCTGTAGCTCAACAAATTTCTCAGTAGATCTCCGACCCTCTCTGAAGCTCAAAAAATTCTATGTTGGGTCTCAGACCTGCTGTCTGGTATGCTTATTATTATACAATACACATGCTTCGTATGCTTCCTTTTGACGGTTGCCAGTCTCTCTTTTTCGGCTATTTCCTTTTTACGACGATTTTGATCCTCCACATACAAATCAGCGAAGAGCGAGCGTTCGCACACGTTATCTTAGCTGTCAGATGCTTGTCAAGTTCAGTGTCAAAAATTTTGCTAGCCTTTTTAAATTTAAATCAAAGTATGGAATTGAAGCCGAATGGCATTTTTTTTTGCAACATCACATAGGAAAGGTCCTTGTGACGCTATTGGAGGTACAATAAAACGCATGACTACTAGAGCAAGTTTGGCCAAAGAACGTGAACATCCAATAAAACAATGCAAGAGAGCTTTATTATTGAGCAAATAATCGAAAAGAAGAATAATTAACAAAATTAGCATTTAGTTTTGCCACAACAGAGGAATACGAAAGTATGGCTTCACACCTCAACGAGCAATATAATAATGCAAACATAATTCAAGGAACTCAAAAGTTTCATTCTTTCATTCCTGTTTCAGAAAATAAAATTAAAGCCAAACGTTACTCAAACTGTAATGATAATGATGCCAAAATATTCGATGTATTTAAGAAAATAGAAAGTAAGTGTATTACAATGAAAATAAATTATGTATCATCTGTCCATAAGGTTTCCGAATAAAAAAAAAGTAAAAAAGAGCAGAAAAATGTATTTTGTGGATTTAAGTTGAAATTTGAAAACTAAAAAGTAGTCGGGATTCGCTGTTACAAATTGTAATAGCGAACCCTGACTACTTTTCCAATAGGGCCTGTGTAGAAAAGCGCTTATAAAATAAACATTTTAATACATTGCAAAAACGGCTTGCTTGATTGCTATGGTGTATTCGGGAAAGTTGTGCAAAATTAAAATGCGATTCTTGAAAAAATATACACGGTTAAAAAAAATGTTATCCGGTCCAGCACCTTTAACTTTAAATATAAGAAATCAATAAAGTATAACAAAAATGATAACTCGGCTCTGTAAAGTTTATTCGATTGAGCCTGTACAAATAAAGTAATTAATAAAAAAATAAAAAAACATGTGTTTTTAATGAAAATGTAAAAATCGTGATATTTTCAAAAAACCATAACTTTTTTGTTTTTGAGTTTACCATCACCAAACTTTGCCAGTTAGCTTCAATAACTTTTTAAGAAATTAACTTTTTTAACAATAAATATTTTTTTTTTTCATTGATACAAACGAAATTTTTTACAGTGTATATTTTTTACACAATTGCCATAATAATATCTACAACTTTGCTGAAGACACCAAATCAATCGAACAAAGCGTTTCAGCAATATATATTTTTAAACTCGTTAGTACTATTATTACACAGGCCCTTTTCAAAAAGTAGTCGTGATTCAATATGAAAAACTGAGAGCACAAAATGGCGCCTTTACTAAAAAGGAACAACTGTGCAAAGTTTCAGCGTAATTCGAAATGATCGGTCAGGATCGATTTGCTATCTATTTGATAGGATCGGAGAAACAACGTGGTGACTTTTCTACCGAGACTCCCCTCCCCCATATGTCACATATTGTGACGTTTCTTCAAACCCCTAACCCATATGTCACAAATTGTAACGATTATAGAGTAATTTATGGTTCGCTAACAGAAAGGGAACTTTTTTCATTTTTGTTCATGGGCTGACCAATATTTAACAATAGTCAGCATTTGGTTACGGTAAAGTTGACATTTATAAAATATTTAAATGATAAACTGAAAAAAAGTGTTCATATAGATTCCATTGGGAACGCACATGATATTTTTTCAATAACAAAATTAATGATTTTTATCTGAAATGCAACAACTATTTTTGATTCAAAGAAAAAATCTGCATAGGGCCTGAGTCTACAATATTTTTTGTTGAATTCCATGTGATTTATTTTTGAAATTAAAATGTTACGAGAACATGGTGCATATACATTCAATTATTGTATTTTTCTATTTTATCTAAAACGCGCATTCGAAACTATTTCTAGGACCTTGTTGTTACGAAATCCCGGGCTCTGCATACAAATGGTTTAGGAGCTATTTGTGTGATAGAACTCGAAGAATTCTTTTTAATGATACTGTTTCTAGTTCCGTGAAAAATAATCTGGGTACTCCCCAGGGAAGTGTATTAGGACCCACTAGATGTATCAATGACATGCAACAAGTTTTACGATTTTGTGATATTTATATTTTGGCAATTTGGCAACACATTTGAATGAAGATTTGAGTTCTTCGAGTAGATGATTGACATTCAAACAACATAAATTTATTATTAGTAAAATCAAATTTATGATAATTTTGCGGAATACATAAAATGTACACGTCTCTGTAGAAATTGATATTGAGACAATTAATCGCGTGCGAGAAATTAACTATCTTGTCATCAACCCAAGTTCAATGCCCATATTGACAATGTCCATTATTAGGCTTACTCTGGAAGTCCGCTGGGCTTGCCGTGGTTTAAATCCCGGCTACAACTGTTTCGACAGGACGGGAAATGCAGATAGAGAAACAGATTAAACGTCTTTTCCATTGTGTCGCAACCATTAATTTTACACATCCAAATGTATTATTTCCCACGAATGTAAGTCATTTTAGATGTTCGCTTCAACGTTTCAAAATGCTGCCTCCAGGGGTGGTTTTCAATCCAATTTCAACAAAACACATATTCGGAAACAATTTCTGCAAAGTGTGCATCTCCGAAACACTTTACATAGCCACTAAGCCCCACAACGACCAAACCCCCGGAAGCTTAATCCTATGTAGTTCATATTACAGTCTAGTATTACCCACAAACGACAATCGCAAACCATTTAGAAAAACAATTCAGGAAAAGCACGCAATGCCGCAGATAGAAGATAAGCAAAAGGATAGTAAAGAGCAGAACATTAGAGCAGGACTTCCTCCCTTTGAAAAATAAAAATTTGGACAAACCCGACCCGGAATCCTCTTCGCGAACAAAATAAAACTCGCAATCAGGACGCATCGGGAGTTAATCATTGCTCGTTCTTCTCCAAAGGAAATCAAAGCAGGACAAGCTCTTTCATATAGGATTGACTTTCTTCTTCTCAATTTTCGATTTTTATTCGCGAAATGATTTCGTCAGGGAAAATCTCTCTCAGAGGAAGCAAAAAAAAACTCTACTTACAAGATACTCGTTCCACCGGGTATCCTGCGGTGGCTGCTCGCTCAGCTCTTCATACAAGCTTTTGGCACGAGCACGGAGACCCTTCTTATCGATGGGCTTATCTTTCCCATCGGCTCCACTGGTTGCATCGGCCGCCGTGCCACCACTGTCCGCTACCTCCGTTGCCGTCGTGTCCGTCGTTACTTCCAAAGAGCCTACCACCGCCGGTTCATCCTCCAAATCCTGGATGCATCGCGAAGAAGTAAGCCCCCCGTTGTTGCCGGCAGGTTTGGGTTTTGATTTTGGTTTTGGTTTTGAGAGGTTTTTTTGTGTGTGTCGGTTGGTGGTGGTTGGTGATGATGGTTGGTGATTTGTCGCAAGTGAAAAGAAGAGTAATATAAACAACAGACAGAGAGAGAAGAAACAGGGGGAATCGATTATGAGAGAGCTCTTCCATCAAAAATCGGAACGAAATCGAATGTCCAAGCAAATTGATTGTTTCGAGAAAAAAAATGCATACTCTACGAGGGAAAATAAATTGGGAACAACTTGAGAAACAAATGACTGTTCTTTTTTATGCAGTTTTGATCCGCGTCAACACAACAAAACAGTACAAAATATATGCGAAAAAAAGGTTTTTTGGCCACATGATTTTGTCTTTAAGCTTATTTGGTGTCTTCTTTAAGGATTAATTCCTTTCATTTAAGGTCTGAGAGAGATAGGAAAGTATCTGGGACGATATAGGAAAATTTTTGGTTTCGAGTGTGCTCAGTTTGTGCGCTTTTCCGAATTTATTTTCCAAATGGTTTTTCATCAAACGAAACGGAAAATAAACTTAACCGAAGATCTTACAGCTAGGTGTGGACTCAACATACATATACAGAGAGATAGACTGTACATCTAACAACACAGTTAGAACCTCATCAATTAGAGAACACACAACACTCACCTCCATCGGTTCGTCGATCCGGTCACGAACAATGTCCGGCGTATCGTCGAATCCCATATCACCGAACCCATCGTCGTGGATGTTCAACGGGAGCGTGCCGTAGTCCTCGCGCATGGTAATCTCGTCGGCTCGCGATTGGTTGATCGAGAAGTGAGCTTCAATGTCCACATCATTCAGCTCCGGCAGCGGTGTATCAAAGTCGTGAAACACCTCCGGCAATGTGATCGCATTGACTGCGGCTTCACGGTGCTCCTCCGGCAGATCGACCATTCCCGGCCGGAAGGCCATCTAAAATTAAGAAATCGATTTGCGATTCAATATACCGCCTCCACTTGGCCTAACGCCCTAAATGCAACTCACCTTAATCTTAACGAAAGCTTCGTTACAATCCGCCAGCAGGTACTTTGCCTTACGGGCGTAGATTCGTACGACACCGAGCAACAGATGACCTGAAGTACGGAGGGCCAGCTTAACCTTCGGCTGCATAATGCCATCGACGGACTGCTCGATGTTGGTTTCGAACACGTGCGCCTTGGTAATCTTCTTATCCCAATGGGCCGCCAGCCAGATACGGGCCAGCGGGCCCTTCTTGGCCAGCACAATGTGGGCGTAGAACATGGTGGATCCTGCTAAATCTCACCAGCTACTTCAAATGTTCGTTTTCTTGCTATGAATGTTTTGATGTTTTCACTTTCCGCGAGTGTTGATGTCACGATCCTGCCAAAAAAAATCGAAAAAGATTATTATGAATAGTTGCGTAAGTTTGTTTACATAGTGACAATGAAAGGATCGTAATAGAGAGACTAGGGGCAAGAGTACACCCCAAATAAATTTGTAAATAAATACATCTCACCCGTGAAACTTCGTGTTCATTTGAAGCATTATAGAAAGTTCTGTCTGTTTAGAAGACGTGAAAAAATTCAAAAAAATATTTTCTGGTGATGCTTTGAAAATCGAAAATTATTATAATAATTAGACATCCAACAATAAGGATGTCTGAATTTCCAATTCCTGCACTGCCTTTAAAAGGCAAATCAATTCAATCTGGAAGCTGATAAAAACGCTATTGAAAATGTATTTGTCCATAGGCTCCTGTGGATGGGACAACCTAGTTTTGATATTTTCACTGTGTTGGGGTAAGTGAGTCAGTTATGGCACTAATGCTCCAGTTTTTGGCCCTATAGGATCTAACTTAAATTTGAAATAAATGTTCAAGGCTTTATTTTCGTAGACATATGACAAAATCCATGTTCTAATCCTGCATTGAAATAAATTTGGTAAAAATTGTGAAAATTTAGAATTAAGAGCGTCAATCAGGGAACTTCTTGGGCCAAAAACTGGTTCACTTACCCTAATGTTGAGAAAAGTACTTAATTGTGTTCCTTAATTTTGAATAACAATATTTGTAATCCTACATCAGCACGTCAAGAGAAAAACAGTGGAACTTTCCCTTCAACTTGGTAACAGAGGACTCTTTTTTCTTTGATTTGTTTCCCGTCGATCTTGTTTTCCGTACTGAGTACCAATGCTACCGACGCCGGGAAGGCTCCCAAACGACCCACTAACTTATAGACCGGGGACCAACGGCTTTACTTTATTTTCGAAGAAAGGCGTGATCAGAGATTGTATGCCCTTTAGAGTGAGATGCAGTCACGCTCACCACTACACCACCGGCGCTGCTGAACAAAAGGACTTTCTGCATCAACTTCAAATGACTTCTAGCGAGAAAGCAAATTAGCGGTTGTAGTAAATCATTACATCAAAACATTGATACAATGATTTACTACAAGCGTTAATTTGCTTTTATCTTAACAACAAATATTTGAATTATCTTAACAACAAATATTACAAATTCTCATTACTGAGCATTACCTAACGTATTAAAATTCCTTGATTTGTTTTCCGTCGATCGTGTTTTCCGTGCTGAGCATTAATGCTACCAACGCCAGGGAGGCAGCTCCCATACCTGGACCCTACCTATCGACCCATCAACTCACGAACCGGGGACCAACGGCTTTACTTCCCTTCCCAAGGAAGGCGTGATCAGAGAAGTTATGCCTCAGTTATGCCAGTTCTACAAACTATGCACATGGCAGATTTAAAATAAAATTCATTAATTTGTCATATATTTTTTTATTTGTAGACATAAAACATGCTTAAAGATACTTTCAAAGTTTCACAGAATGTTCTTCTTCTTCCGAGAACGAGAATCGTTTCACAATAATCACCCCTATTCTGTATTTCGTTCGAAACGAAATTCTCATACAAAAAAATATTTTTTGTATGGGCGTTTTGGGAAATTTGTTTGACACGATTATAACTAAAGCCCACTAAACTAAAGGACGACTGTCACCACAAAATTGAAAGAAAAAAAACTGTTCCAATCGAGCAAAGCGGTGCATTTTGACGGTTCGATTGGAACGTTTGATAGACGTCCATACTTTTACTGTAGGGCTTTAATTATAACGGGTTGAAAGTTTTCTTTCCATCCCTTTTTATTTATTTATATATTTATTTTATTTTACTAGTCTTCGAACTGATCGTACAGACAGATATTGCTATTCACTAATCCTATTTCTAAACATTGTCTTAGATATATTAAAATCAAAAAGGACAAATACTTCATTAAAACGACGACAACAAACGGATGGTTCTGTCCATAAAGAGTGCGGTGCACAGAAAGGCGGAGATAATCTGCACGCCGGATAGTTCTGGCCGAAATGTTTACATTTATATTGCTCAGCAGTACTGAGCAGTCTACATTGCTCTTCAGGATGTCGAATATAAAAAGCCGCTGCAACAGGATCCTCCTACTAGCCAAGGTCGGTAGATGTATCAAGGCGCAGCGATGCTCGTACGGTGGTAATCGAACCGGATCATTCCACGGAAGTAAACCAAATCGAAGAAAGGTCCTTTGAATGCGCTCGATCCAGTTAATCTGAACGACATGGTATGGCGCCCACACTAGCACTCCATATTCAAGTATGCTGCGTACCAGCGCGCAGTAGAGACTTTTCAAGCAATGAATGTCTTCAAACTGCTGCGTGTTTCGTTTGAAGAATCCAAGCACTGCGTACGCCTTGGCGGTCGTTGCAGCTATGTGTTGGGTAAACCTCAGCTTACTGTCAAGTAGCACACCCAGATCTTTAACAGTGCTTACTCTGTCGATACTAGTTGTCAACATTCTATAATCGAAAATGGTCGCAATCCTTGTTCGATAGAAAGAAATTACATTACATTTTCGGGCATTTACATCCATTCCGTTCAGCCTGCTCCAGTGTAGTAACGCGTCGATGTCAGCTTGTATGGGCACAGCAATCAACTAACGATGAAACTACCCGAAAGAACTTCAAATCATCGACAAACATTACCTTCGGAGATTTAATCGTTTCGCAAAGATCGTTGACAAATAGCACAAAAAGAAGTGGGCCTAAATGAAGTGGGCCTCCCTTGAGGCACACCAGATGTGATATCGAATGGGTTAGAGCTCGTTAGGTAGGAAAATATCCAGCGAGTCAACCAGGCGGGAAGCCCTAATAAAATTGTTATGGTTATTTTGCTTAACGACGTGTTCTTGGCATCATCCATACCATTTGTTGTATAGTTCTATTATTTGGGTTATCGTTCGTTTATGGTTATTTTTTATTAGGGAGGCCCATTCTGTCCAATTTGTCCACCGCCAAAGAGTGCGGCACTCTATCGAACGTTTTAGAGAAGTCGATATAGATGGCATCGATTTGTTGTCTCATTTCCAGTGTGATGACCAACGAGGAAACATATGCTATCAGGTTGGTAGTGGTAGAGCGTTTTTCACGAATCCGTGCTGGAATTCGGAAATAATATGATGAACGTGTGGATAAAACGAATCGAAGACGAGGCTTTCAAAATTCTTTGGCAAGCAGTTCAAAATTGATATGCCACGGTAGTTCTCTATGTTGTGGATACTACCAGCTTTATGTATGGGAGTAATGGCAGCAGTTTTCCAAGCACTCGGAAAAACGCCTTCCGCCATGGAACGATTAAAAAGAATTGTGACGGGAACGGAAAGCGAAACGGCGCAGTTCTTGATAAACAGTGGTGAAAGACGATCTGGTCCGGCGCTTTTGGATTCGTCTATCCCTTGGAGTTTGCTCAGCACATTTTCCGGAGAAAAGTCGAGAAGCGCTACGTTCAAATCATACCGATCTGCGTCTGAAAAAAAGCCATAGTGCATTTCTTAATCAATTTTAGAAATTGCCCATGTATAAAGCTCTTTAGCAGATGTAATATGATGCCCCTGCAAACTTGCTTTAGCAGCATTTCGTGATGATAAATCGGATAACTTCCAAAAACATGTCTATAAACTCCTGAGTTTGCAACTCCACTAAATCCATGATACAACGGTCAGAATTTTAAGGATTCCACATTTCCATCGGTCAGGATAGAAACCATTTCTGAAGTCAAATTTTGCATACCTGGGCAATGTTCACACATTTTTAACCAACACTGTTCTGTGGGGTTGGTGCAAAGAATTTTAAAAGTCATGATATGATTACACATCAACTGGAAGTGACTTTCTATCTTGAAGATTTTTTGGTGGCAAACACACACACACACACACAAACAGTATGTGTGCCACTCGTTCCTGCCAGAATGCAATGCTTAGGGCGGTTACTTGCAAACATTGAAAACCATATTTTAGTTGCGGGATATTGATCCATGAAAATGGCATAAACCTCTTGCAAATTACACAATACTAACATAGAGGTAACTCTAAGACCAGAGGGTCCCGAAGAAAAGTGCTCAACTTTTTGGCTAAGCTCTGGTACTCTCTTCGGTCCCAAGCTAATCTATGCACCCCTCGAAACATAGGAAAATCCACTAACCCCTCATTTTATCTGTCAAACTTTCATAGCAAATCAAAACAAACATAGTGTAGTACTAGAATTTTGGGGTACGCTAATAGATTTGCTTGGGACCAATAGGCTAGTCAAGTAGTGAGCCAATTTAAAATCGTTAGTTTCGTATTGATTGTTGATACTAATCTTCGCTGTATATGAACCTTACCATCAACATTTTTTGTAATAACAAAGTCGCGTTTTCCTAGACAACATCGGCTGATTTCGTCACTGGTATAGAAATCACGCACCAGTGATAAAGTTTATTCTGCTTAAGACGCCCTGCTCAGCTTTCTTTTTGGTGTCGTCATTATTCCCTTGTCCTCCTGTAGTGTTTTGGTCCGATCCGCCATATATTGAGAAACACCGAATTCCTTCGTTATTTTATATGCTGACCAGCTTCTAGGTAAAGTCGTGAGAATGCGATACTTCTCATTATTATCATCAGTTTCTAGAAACTTTTCCTTGAGTTGCTGAATGATTTCATCATCGTTTGTACTAGGCACACTGTCAGTACTTCTGATCGATTGTAAACTGGGTGCTTCTCGTGACTCTGAAAATTAAGTCAAAAAAATATATTTGACATTACTGTAAACGCTACACTAATTTCGGTGAAGATACTCAAAAAGCCTACTGAAATCTAGATCCAATCGAGCCTGACGTTACAATGTTTTCAGAGTGCTATAATGTGACGCCATGCTCGTTTGACTCATGGATACCAATGTAAATACATTTTTTTAAGTACAGCAGAAACTCCGGATGGTCCAGCGGTGTGCTCTTTGGGTGCGGGTTTATACAGTTTGAAGTAGCAATTTCTGCATATGAAGGAACTGCCATCT